ATGTTTAATGTTTTCCCGATTTAAGCGCGACAAAGACTAACTTCAACGCCTCTTTGAGACGCTCTTTTAAGCCTCGCTTGGGTGTGTGATAAATGTAAAAATGTGTATATATATTTCTTCATATACATACATATGACACTACATCCGTACATATACATATATGCACTTGTATGTATGTATGTATGCATATACATATTGACGTTACGGTTTGGTGTGCATAACTTTGCAAGCGTAATTGGAGACACCGTAGCCGGGAACTTGCGGCTGATTCGTAATGAATGATAAGCTTTTCTATGCTGCATTATTTCAAACGTACATACATACATACATATGTAGGTATCTCTTTCCAATGGACTTTAACCAAAACCACATTTTTGCTCTTAGAGCTTTCTTACTATGAATTAACAAAGTGATTAATTTAAAAGAAAGTAAGTACAATCGCCGAGGTACAACGTCTCAGCGAAAGCCCGACGCCGTTTTAATGAAAATATGGTACATACCTACAGCCATACTTTCAGCAGGATAACACTCAAATACGTGTAGGCTCAGAATCGAGTCAATGTTTTCCATCGGAATCTATCGTAAAATCAAAATTTAACCTTTAAAACTTTGGTCATATGTAATCCATTTTTTCGTTAGATTTTTTTTTTTTTTAATTTTTTTCGAGCAAGTATAATTGTTATATCTGTTTTGACCATACATATTTGATTTTTTCATCATTTTGTAACCGCTATTTTCGGGTTTAATTTCTAAGATCATAAAAAGTTCAAATAATGACATCGCCAAGCTATACAGTAGATTCTAGTAGTGGACGAATTTCATCAAATGCTTTCTAACAATTGCGTCCGTCGCCATATTTATAATTGCCAGAGAATACCCTGTGCGGCACTGAGAAAAGGGGTCTAAACTTAAGAAAATGCTGCTACACCAAAGTGTGTCTTAATAACAATCCTTTTGAAACACTTAGCGTCCGCGGATCTGTTTCCGGAAGCAATACAACAGCACTACAATAGACTCTCGAGCTTGACCCATTGCGTCTCACCATACATATATACATAGAAAAAACAGCCAAGCATACTCTCTTACAATTCACAATCGAAGGCTTTGGAAGATCACATCGTCACATCGTCGAGGTGAGGCTTCAACTGGGCATTCACGCCTTTCCTTATCCGCGGGCACAACGGCAATTGGCAATAAAGTACAGAGCCACAAGTCGCTCGCCGGCAGCACCTAGGGCAAAGACAAAGAAACGTTGCTGGCAAAATACCCGGAAATTGGCCAGCCGGTTCTGAACAATGCTGCGCTTTTTGCTCGCTGCGGACCAAACCCTCTTAAAGCCACTTCGTTTGGAACTCATAAGGTGATACATACATATTTCTCTTACATATTTCCCCTAATTCAAATTGAATTTATTTTTTAAACACGTGGCAACCCTCCTATAGTTAAGTTAAAAAACAAAGCTTTTCAAAAATATTTCGATAAATGCCCATTTTGAATAATTGATACATTTTTTTAAATAATTTGAATACAGATAAATTTTAAAATGTGGCAACTCTTTTCAAAAAAAAAATAAATGTTTATTGCACATCTACAGCCCGAGCCCTTTAATTTGACACCTCACTTTTAAAAATCGATCGAACGGTACGGATCTAATGGTATTGACCAAGGTGAATTTAAGGTGGTGTTACGGGCGAATTTAGATTTTCGTACTTCCAAATGTCAAAATGATGTGTTTGTTGCAAACAAGGCGAATTCATATTACAACAAACACATCAGTTTGACATTAAGAAGTACTGCGGCGAAAATCTAAATTCGCCATCAACACCACCTTGTATAAATTCGCCTTGGTATTGATTTGGTATTTGATTTTAATTGTTTCATAGGTGGCAACTCTTTCCGAAAAAATAAAACCAGTTTGCACATCTACAGCCCAAGCTCTTTAATTTGACACCTCATTTTTGAAAATCAAACGAACGGTTCAGATCTTTTATGCGGAACAAAAAAAGCCTTCGCGTATTATATATATATATGTACTTAACCCTGTAATTGTGGAACGGACTTTACTCCTGTAAAAACATAATGCCTGGATTATAATGGAAGTAACAGAACGGAGTGAACTGCCCCTTAATTATCTATTGTATGGGCAATGAATTCAAACGATTATAATGCACTTGAACGCAGTGTAAAACGGATGCATTTAAAATCAATAGATCGTTACGAATTCGCCGCAATTGGTTACGATTCGCCCGGTATTAGGCCTTTGCAAACGCACCCTAAAGTGCAACAGCTGATTCGATGTCAAACGAACATCTGAGTACATAACCTCATAATTTTCTCTGCGGTGGCGTTTATATTCGTAACGATTGTTCTAAATAAAATATACATATTTGCTAAATAANTGACATAACCTCATAATTTCCTCTGCGGTGGCGTTCATATTCGTAACGAGTGTTCTTAAATAAAATATACATATTTGCTAAATAAATAAAATTATTGTCAGATAAANCATAACCTCATAATTTTCTCTGCGGTGGCGTTTATATTCGTAACGATTGTTCTAAATAAAATATACATATTTGCTAAATAAATAAAATTATTGTCAGATAAAAACGCGATGTATTTAACTCGCAGATTCCCGCGTATATACACAGGTGCAGCTCAATATCTGGTCACCAGCAGCACTCGTTGGTACAGTGGCGCGGCAGAGGATATTATAGAAATACCCAACCGCATACAACGGTCTCCAACTGATATATTAAAAGCACTGGCCAGCACGGTTGGACGTGATCCAACAGCAGCGCATTACAAATATCATGATGATCCGTACCTGATTCCAATGTCCAATGTGGGCAAGCGAACATTTGCCATGGCTCAAGAAGCTGGACGAAAGGCGGCCCGATTTATTAGAGAAGAGCATCGTGAAGTGTTCCAAGTAAGTAACAAATAAATATCTTTTAAAATGGTATTAATGAACTTATTTGTAGCACCAAGAAGCTCAACCACCCATCGAAGCATTTGTACCCAAAGTGCTGTATACAGAAGAAACTGAAGTAGATGCCGATACACTGCATAATCTAATTCGCCACTCGCAAGTAACAGACGCTCTTNTAAAATGGTATTAATGAACTTATTTGTAGCACCAAGAAGCTCAACCACCCATCGAAGCATTTGTACCCAAAATGCTGTATACAGAAGAAACTAAAGTAGATACCGATACACTGCATAATCTAATTCGCCACTCGCAAGTAACAGACGCTCTTGTGGTATATAATCTGATTAAGCAGAAAGGTGTTGAAATCAGCAATGAAACGAAACAGCAGCTTCTTGAACTTATTTGCTTTTACAACAACGAAGAGCCGTTGCCGGAAGAATTGATTGAAGAACGTTGGTTTAAGGCTAACGCAGACGCACGTGAACGTAATCGTAAAACTTGGAAAGACGGCGAACTAGCTGAACAGCTGTTTGGAGAATTAGAACCAAAAACACCGCAATCGTATGCAGCGCTTATAAGGGGAATGGCTAAATATTTTCAAGTAAGTCAGTTCAGAGCTAATAGTTTAAATTTCATAGTTGCTTACTAACTTTCCATTAGGCTGAACGCGCGTATGCACTTCTGCAAGAAGCAACTGAAAAGCAATTTGAGTTAGACACACAAACTTTCAACGCAGTGATCAGCGTAACGAACTTCCTAAAAGAAACGGCGGATCAACGCTGGGAACTATGCAGGGAATTACTTCAGCAAATGTCACAGCAACAGTTGAAACCAAATTTGGGCACCTTAAATGCGGCATTAGAGGTTGTTAGCACTTTTGGAAACGTCAAGTTTGCTCGTAGCTCAGCACTAAAACTACTCGCGGAATTCAAGCAACTAGACGTTGAGCTTGGCTTGAGCACTTACTACTACCTATTGATCATTTTCTGTCGAGAACGTGGACCAGTTTCACATATTATAGTCGATATTTTAAATGAGATCAAGGGAAAAGAATTCAAAATTCAACACCCGCGAGACACGTATTTCTTTACAACGGCAATGGACGTTTGTCGCAATCACTTGCAAGACAAGTCCCTTGCAAAGAAAGTCGATGAACTACTACACACTGGTAATAATTATGATTTGATTGGCGATACATATAAAGAGGCGATATATTATCGTCATTACTTTGCGCTACTCTGCCAAACAGAACCAATCGACGAATTCATGAAAATCTATGACTTACTCGTCCCGCACGTTTACATTCCAGAGCCCGGTATTATGGAAGAAATATTAAAAGCTATTGAAATACATGGAGCCGTCGAACTAATGCCCCGCTTCTGGTCCGATATGGTTATATTTGA